TTATGTGTTCGTGGCTCATAAGTCACAAACATTATGAATAACATTACAAATTATTCATTCAAACTTTTATTCATTGCAAATATGTTAAAATAGTTTATATAACAACCATTAAATACCGATCACTTTCAATATATTTATAAATAAAAAGTACATAAAATTTCTAGTGTGTTCAAATTTAAATATTTTTTTATGGGCTCAATTTTAAATCATCCAGACAATTGGCCAAACGCATAGGTGTGTTCAAATTTAAATCATTGGCATTTTGGTCGGTTGAAATTTAAATCATGTACCATAGTACTGTGATGTGTATTATATATATATATATATATTTAACAAATAATATGTGTTTTATAAAATAATAATTATAATTTCACAAGATTTTAAACGTAAAATTTGGTTTTTAATCACAATAGGAAAAATCACGGTAAGTTGTATTGAAAATGTGTTATGAGATAAAACAATTAACTAAAATAATTAAATAAAATACTTGATGGAAATAAAATGCATTAATTACTTTGACTTTTCTTATTACTAATTCTAGTAAATAGAATGCATTTTTATATAAGTATAGATACTGATTTTTATTAACCAAGCAATAAGAAGAAATTCACATACATAAATAAATTGATTAAAATAATAAAAAAGTATCTAAAATTAATTTATTGCAAGAGAAATATTTATTTCCCTGATATATTAAAACGTTTTGCATTTCCTTTTTTTTAATTAATCAAATCAAATCAATCATATTTTTTTTTTGGCAAAATTGCGCCTAATATCACCACCTTTATCAAAATTGTAAATTAATCACGACTTTTGAACTTTGGCGCACAATATCATGATCTTCAATTTTTGGCAATACGGTACATGAACTTCCTCAGCTCTCCAAAAAAATCGACGTGGCTTAAATTTGCCACCGCGAAGGCTTAGCTGGCGGTCCACCTCGGAGCAATACGGCGTTATTTTAATTATTTTTATCCACGTCAGATCAAAACGACGTTGTTTTGATATCTGAGTATTTATTTTTATCCACCTCAGATCGAACGACGCCGTTTTGAGTGGTAAATTGCTGATTAAATCCCCAAATCAGTCGATGAACCCTTCTTCAATCTGCAGGAGAAAATTTTTGGGGTTGGGTTTTTGTCATCGGAGAAGAAGGATATGGCAAAATGTTAACCAAATCCAGCTCATCTAGGAGTACAACATCAAAATTTACATGTATCCATGGTGAGGCCGAATTGCTGACCTCTAATACCGATTGAAATTCGGGTAGGAGGTTCTACAGGTGCAAAAATCGATTGGTAAGCCTAGTTTACATGTATCCATGGTAACTGCTTTAAGCCTGTAGATTGTTAAAATTGGGAATTAGGGTTTAATCTCTTATTAGGTTTAATTTTTCTAAATTTGGAAACCATGAAGTTGATTTATTATGGAATTAGGGAATTAGGGATTAGGGTTATGGCTTATTAGGTTTTTCTGAATTTTTCTGATTTTCCTGCATTTTTCTGAATTAGGGAATTAGGGTTTAATGAAATCAGTATTGCTAGGATATCGAAACGACGTCGTTTTGATCTGACGTGGATAAAAAGAATTAAAACGACGTCGTATTGCTCCGAGGTGGACCGCCAGCTAAGCCAAATTTAAGCCACGTCGATTTTTTTTGGGGAGCTGAGAAATTTCATGTACCGTATTGCCAAAAATTGAAGATCATGATATTGTGCGTCAAAGTCCAAAAGTCGTGTTTAATTTGCAATTTCGATAAAGGTGGTGATATTAGGAGCAATTTTGCCTTTTTTTTTTT